AAAACTACAGTTTATATTTTATGATTTTTCAAATCATAAAGAAGACTTTTTAAATGATTGTATTCATATAATGCTCTACTTGCATGCTTATGAGTTTATAGCCTATTTCAGATCAGCTTATACGATTAATTAACACTGCTTTCATTGCAGCCTTTTTTTTTTTTTGGCAAATGAAGGGTTTCATGCCCTGATTTTTTTTTTTTTAAAGTTTTCCCGAGAACAAAACATCTTAAATACTTTTAAAGGATAAAAATATTCTCTCTGCCATTATGTATTTGTTTTGTTGTGTTTCTAACACTGTAGAATTATTTTTGTACATGACTAGATTTAAAAAGCATGGTTTTGTTTTGTATTTTAACTTGGTAAAGCTAGGTATTGGCTTTGAAAATAGTTAGGAAATCTTTTAGCTTATCTATGGTTTTATTTGGAATTTATGTATCACCCTTGCCAAGACACCCCAAACAGGCGCCTACCCATTTTACTTACCCAGTTATCCAGAAGCTTCTCACCAGGTGGGCACTCTAGCCCTGCCTTCCCATAGCTCTCTCGCCTTTTAGTCCTCCAAACCCATTGCTGTCGAGTTGATTGTGACTCATGGTGACCCTATGTGTTAGAGAGCAGAACTGCTCCATAGGGTCTTCTTGGCTATAGTCTTTATGGAAGTGGATGGACAGGGCTTTCTTCTGCAGTGCCACTGGGTGTGTTCAAGTGGCCAGTTGCAAAGCACTTGTGCCACCCAAGGACCTTTTAGTCCTCCAGCTTTACCCACTTCTATAGTTATTTACTCATTCTTTCCTACTGCAAAACATTTACTGAATTCCCTATTCATGTACCAGGCTGTGTTCTCGGGGACAGGGATATGCTGGTGAATCAAAGTGGTCCTTCTTGTAGTGACAAAATCAGAAGTAATTATACCTAATTATGCATGATAAAAGGAGCCCTGGTGGCACAGTGGTTGAATGTTCAGCTGCTAACCCAGAGGTCAGTGGTTTGAACCCAACAGACACTCCGTGGGAGAAAGATGTAACAGTCTACTTCCTTAAAGACTACAGCCTTGGAAACCCCAGGGGGCAATTCTTCTCTGTCCTGTAGGGTCGCTCTGAGTCTGAATGGTGGGTTTTGGTATGTATGATAAATCCTATAATGGAAGGAGGTACAAAGGACAGTGGTGAGATAGGATTTTAAAAGGCAATTTGGCTTGGGGGATTGGGGAAGACTTGACCAAGGGCAGACTTTCTGAACTGGACTCCTGGATAGAACAAGGAGGGAGGTGGAGCTGGGGTGAGATTCCAGGTGAAAGGAATAGCAGGACTTAGTCGTGACCATCGTTGGCGTAGAGGCAGGCTTGTGGTCTCCATTTCCTTTTCCTCCCTCCTAAATGGTGTGACCAACATAGTAAGTCTTGTTCCTGTCATTAGCTATAATGTTATACTGCATTTTGAATAAATAACTTGAGGTAGGTTTTCAACTCAAAAGGAATAATGAGCCTCCTCAGATAGAAAATCGGAAACCCTGGTGGCACAGTGGTTAAAAACTACGGCTGCTAACCAAAAGGTTGGCAGTTCAAATCTACCAGGCACTCCCTGGAAACTCTATGGGGCTGTTCTACTCTGTCCTATAGGGTCATTATGAGTTGGAATGGACGGCAGTGGGTTTGGTTTTTGATTTGGTTTCAGATAGAAAGTCATCAGGGAGCTGTCTGCTGTGTCTGGCGTTCTGCGCCTTGAGTAGACCTAGATTTACTAGGAGTAATGTGCATCTCTTCATCTTTCCTGGTGTTCTCTTTCTTGTCATGAGACTTATTGTAAATAAAATGTTGCTTTGTCTGGGGTGTTTTTATTTTGGAGAGTTGTTGTTATTTTTTCTTCAAAATTGATTTATTTGTGGCTAAGAGGGAAGACTGAAGAGGCAGCTATTAGGTTGTATTTCTGAAGAGTTTCAAACTCTAGAAAGAAGATTACGATAGAAAGAAGCCATCCAGCTAAGAGTCTTGAATTTCACCCTCCACAGCACTTATCTTGAAAGGTGGCTGGACGGGCAAAGGGACCCTAGAGGGAGAAGGTGGGAACAGGCCTCAGGTTAAGACATTTTAAGTTCTGACTGGAATCAAAGAAACTGTAATTATCAAAAGTCAGTCCTTTGAAAGGATTCCTCTTTCCTTTGTTGGACATGTTGGCCACTGTTAAAGATTATTATTTTTAAAATTCCAGTTTTTAATTTGACAGATGGTTGGCACACATCTGACTGCCAGTGCTGAGAGAATTCATGTGGGTGGCGCCCTCATGGTTCGTGTGTCACTGGGCTTGTTCCTCTGTCCCTCAGTCACATGGGATGGGAGCCAGTGCCGCCAGCAGGCCACAGGGAGACAAGAGCGCGGCACTCACTGATGGCCATGCTCTACTCACCCTCCACCAACTCCCCAGCTCCTTCTCATGGTCTCTCTTCCCAGAGTGCAGTTCAGTAGCAGGTAGAAGGAGAATACCTTTTCAAGTCCTGAATATAAATTCTTTGTTCTGTCAGGATGCAGTATTCTAAGACTGAGTTCTCTTTTTGCAGACAGCGGCTGCCTGTGTGTGAGCCCACAGAGAGGACAGCGTGTTGTCTCTGAGGACAAGAGGGCGCTGGGAGGGGCCGTTCCAGGGGCTGGCTTCCATTTCAGAGTGCGGAGAAAATGCCACCTCTTTTTTTTGGGCTTCTCTGGTTTAAATTTATTGGGTTTATTGGAGTAATATTTCATCAGATATGAAGTTTCTGTCTCCTTCAATAGCAGCTTTGTAAAACTGGCCGGAGAGATGCAGAGGAAGGTCAGCCGTGTTCATGCCATGCTGGACTAGCTCACCCATCTTTTCTTTCACTACTTTAGTCAATAATCTGATGGGAGCATTTGTTTAAAATGGCCATTTTAGGGTCACTTAAGATATATCTTCATTTTAGTAGAAGGTACACCACTACCTTCCTACTTGAGAAGTCATTTTTAAGTGGGACTCAAAATTGCAGGCTTTCCTCTGGCTTTAGAAAGATGTAGCAGCCTCTCCACACGAGCTTCCAGCATTGGACTGAGTCACAGTCGGCCCTCCTGTGGTGCCAGGCCCTTGCTGACTTTTTCCATAGCTGTCGGTCGCGGTCACAATGGAATGAAGCAGTGGGTTCTTTCAGATAGATACCACATAACACATGGTCCCTGTCCTCCTGTGGGTACAGGAAACGGTGCAGGGCAGGAAGCCATCAGGGTACCAGCCATGTACACCTCTTTCTTCCTGGCAGGCGTACAGTTCAGGAGATTGGGCCTTATTTCCATTTGTCATGAATATAAGCATTTTTATTTGGCATACCTGCTAAAAATAGAAAACTAATAATTCCACAGATCTGGGTTGGCCTATTATACATCTTGAATATTGAAGGGCGTGTTTGTAAAACTGGAACTCCAGATTCACTCGCTCCAGAGGAAGCCCTTTACTGCCCTAATCGGAGCAGCCGTCTCTGGGCTGCGTGCCTTCCCCCGCGACCCCCCAGCAGTGGCCATTAAGAAGGCACAGTGTATGGAGCTACGTGCAGGTCTGTGTGCTGGTGTGTGTGTGTGCGCGTGCACGTGTGTGTGCCACACCCGTGAGGCAGCTTCATTAGGTTAAGGTATGAAAATAACAGTGATCGGATTGGCAGGTTTTGGAAATTGTTTAATGTGGTAAAGTTTAAAGCTTTTAGAAAGAGGCCTGAGCCAGAGACAGTGCAGGTACTGGCAGGTCTACGAAAGCGGCTGTAGTGAGGGTGACACCACTCAGCTCCGTGTGCCTCTGCCCCCCAGTTTCCCAGCGCCCGAGCCACATGCCAGGTGGCGCGCTGGCCTCACAGTTCCTCCTCACAGCTCTCCACAGGGCCTTCTCACCCCCACCCTACATACGTGGACACCTCCGCTCAGAGTCAGTCGCTGTCCCGGTGGTGGAGCTGGGGTCACACAGAGGCCTGTCTGATGCCAGAGGCTGGGCTTCTAACAGTTCTGCAAGGCCTGGAATCAATGCCTAGGAAGTGACAAGTCTCAAACGAGAAACAGAGTCGGCCTCAGATGAAATAAACATCTACATAAAAAAGAGATGAGCTGACTCAAACTAACCGCACTGAGAAATGGCTGGCATGTTGCTGACGAGACCAGGGAGCCTCACAGACCCAGTCAGGAGCTCTGCATCCTCAGGAAAGTACTGCTGGGCCAGGGCTGGGAAGAAAGCCGAAGCCCAGTGCTGTAGTGCCTCTGAAATGGTGCCTTTGTAACAGGACCAGTCAAAAGGACGCACCAGAGAATATGCAGCTAGTACTGTCTAATGGAAGGATTACCCACCTCCCATAAATCAGGGTCCCCTCCTGAGGGTGTGTGCTTAGAGCCTGGCTCCCCAGGCAAACTGTGAGACCCTGTGAACACGCCATATTAAGACCTTCCAACTCCTCTGCTCTGCCTCTTGGGCTCCAAAGCAACCTTCTGCTGGTAGTAAAAACCCCTACACAGAGTTTTCAACACTGCCCAGCACACAGGGACACTCTTTCATGGATTCGTTCTTTCAACAGATTGATTAAATGCCTGTGAAGTTTTTTCCCCCCTCTCCTCCCCTCTGGCTCTGAGGTTCTGCTTCCTTTGAATGACATGACTATATTCATTATTCAGATACACAGCTGCATCCTTAAATGGGAAAGCCAGCTCCTGTCCCTCTGTGGGAGGGAATAAGTATCATGGAGGGTTGACAGTTTAGGGCACTTGCCTTCCAGATTCAGAGTGGAGCTTTATGTTTTAAGACCCAATAGATTCATACTTGGAAGAAGAAAAGAGACATATTTCATTTTTCTTCCAAGGTAGCTGCAGTGTAGCCCGTCCGGTGTATTGGTATTCAGGTAATCCTCTGCTCCGTGCCGTGAACAGTGAAGTATTATGCAGTCAGCAAAGGTGTCAGTCTCTAATAGCTTTGGCTGTTTTCCCCTTTTTAACATTTGATGACTGATTTTTTTACTTCTTTTAGATGAAAGACTTTCGAAGTAAAATGCAATCAGTGTTTCCAACAATTCCCAAGAACTCCAAATCGGCTGTTGAGTGGGAGGAGGCATTGAAATCCAAATGAGATGAGCATGGATGACTTCTACAGTGAGCTTTCCAGAAAGGGCGGCTTTGTTCAGGCCACTGCAGCAGAGGGACTCGTATCGACTGCTCCTTGGGGACGTCGGACCCTCGACTATGCCTCAGCATCCTTGTCGGGGGCCTGGAGACTGACAGTGTTCCTGTATACTTCACTTTAAACCGGATTTGGTCAGGGTGGGTGTGCGTGTATGCGTGTGTGTGCGTGCACGCGCACACGTTGGGGTGGGAGGGTAAGTTTTAACCAAAGTGAGGAAGATTTTTTAAAAATCATAATGATAGAGATAACATTCTCATGTGAGGAGACCCAGTGTAAAACTTCTGTTTATGGCTGTAACCGTTGAAACCAAGTTCCTACCTTGAAAAAAGAAAATTTATAATCAATATATGATGGAAAATCTTTATATAAACAGACTCCTATACCTCCGCATGTCTAATTAATTGTGTTTCAAGAGCTTTTCTTGTAAGTGTATGACTGTCAGAATTTGATGGGCTTGTTCCCATTAGCAGAGAAAAGACAGAGGGACAGGCAAATCCTGGACACCTGGAAGTGGGCGAGGCTTCACTGTCCTGGCCGCAGTCTTCACTTTGCAGCTAACACTGCTGGTCACCTGCTGGCCTCACCCTGCAGCCTCTGAGTTCCTACACTTAGAACATGAAGCTGGTGACAGACCCTGATAACCTGAAAAGGCCCAGTTGGGCTAAAACATGATGATGAGGATGGCATGGGTATGAAATGTACTTTTTAAAATAGTTGGTTCTGGGCCCCTGAACGCTGCCTGACAATTTGTAGCTTTGCCTCAGCTGTCAAAGTAAAAATAGCCCAGTTACCACCTATCTTAACACATTTGTTTAACTGGAAAGTCACCTGAGTATTGAGTCTAAATAGTCAGTATTTAGTACCGCCCCCTAATGAAACTGCCGCTATTAAATTCTTACATACGCACCCCAGCCTCACCTGTCCTCCGGGATCGCTTACAAAGAGACAGATGGAGAACGATGTCTACGTGCGGTTATTTTTAGTGGAGAGTAAAAAGTTTTGAAGAAGAGAACTATTTTAATATGTCAGTATGTCCAGAGAAATATCCTCTGGTTGAATTATCATTTGTGTAATTTCTTTGTAATTGCTTAGGTTGTAATTAGTCAGCAGTCAGGTTTAATAAAGTACATTTGAAATTTGTTATAATGAAACCTTTAAGTTCTAAGGAAAAATTTTAAATGAAATGTCAAGTGCATAATGTAACATTTTTCTCTAGACCATGTTACCCTGTTAAAATCACTGTATTGTTAATTAAACAGGTGTAATCAGCACCTGGGATTCATATGTAACATGTTCAGAATCCAAGACTAAAAGGCAAAAGGATTGTGAAATTGATCAGGGCACGTGAAATAGCAAAGGACTCTTCACCTGTGTTTTATTTTTTTTAACTAAATCTTCACTAAGGAGAGGTCCGAGCCTTTGAATGAAACGAAGACGAGGCTGGAGCCAGACTGAGCAGGCTCTTGTCCACAGCATCAGCCTGAGCCCCATCTGCCCTTCGTAGATGGGACAGGTGCCACCTAAAACCATTCACAGCTAGAATTCAGATGCAGCTTTTTCTTGGTGGAGGATGTCTACTGATTTTTAAAAAGCTGGTGGCGCAGTGGTGAAGAGCTCTGGCTGCGAACTAAAAGGTCAGCAGTTTGAATCCACCAGCTGCTGCTTGGAAACCCCTTGGGGCAGTTCTACTCTGTCCTGTAGGGTCTCTATGAGTCGGAACCAAGTCAACGGCAATGGATTTGGTTTTTCGGTTTGTTAGGAGAAGGTGAGAGTGTCTAGCTTTTCTGGAGTGGTGAAAGGGAAGTTAGGCACAGCTGTGCTTCTGTGTAACAGACTTCCGCCCCGGAAGCTCCGTGAGGCTCGGGACTCCTCAGGGCCTGGGAAACTTGTGATACCACCTGCTGCGGGTGCCGCAGACCCAGGACCTGGGGTGGGTGGGGGGAGAGTCCGCACAATAGGCAAAGCATTTCATTAACTAAAACAAACAGGCAAAAACCAAAGAGGATACCAGCTGCCTAAACCTAAAGGGCACTTGCCTGGGAGTTGATGGCCTGGCCCCACACCTGGAAAAGCCATGCTTCTTGTGGTGCTGGAGTCCCTGGGTGGTGCAGCGGTTAGCACAACCAAAAGGTTAGAGAGTCAAGTCCACCCAGAGGTGCCTCCGAAGAAGGGCCTGGCGATCTATTTCTGAAAAATCGGCCACTGAAAACCCTACGGAGCACAGTTCTATACCCCGACACACACGGAGTCACCATGACTCGGGATCCACCCACAGCAGCTGGTTTTACTGGTTGGTCTCATAGCTGCACGAAGGTGAGATGACCGTAACACCACAATTGCAGTTGTTTTCATGGGTTGACGAAGCAACATGTACCGCCATGTTTTTTAGGGAGGGGAAAACACAATGAGTAACTTTTTATACTCTGTTAGGTCATTTCTGGTGATTTTGGATCTATTTTAGTTTCATTTTCTGAACTATGAAGGTGAAGAAAGTTTAACCTAAAACTGCAAGGGAAAACAAGTGCTGCGTCATGGGCAGTGAGCAGTGCACGGCTGAGGACGGCTGTCTACGAGAGCGACTGTAGTGAGGGTGACACCACTCAGCTCCGTGTGCCTCTGCCCCCCAGCTTCCCAGCGCCGGAGCCACGTGCCAGGTGGGCGCGCTGGCCTCACAGGCCCGGCTCGTGGGAGGCCTGCATGAACGCGTGCGTGGGGACGAGTGTCTGAATACGTATGTGTGTGGTATGTGTGGTGCTTGCAAGACCCTTTGTGTGTATGTTATTGTCCTTAATGGTTGACGGACAAAGTCCCTGTAATAGAACCACACACAGACTCCAATTACAATTTAAAAGCAAAAATAAAGTAACAAAGATGAAAATAAAAAAGAAAACAAGCAATATGACCAAAATGGTATTTTTTCTGCCATCAGAATCCTGATATCAGAAGGTTTACTCATTTGTCTATTCCTTTTATACCAGAGGCGTATTGTTAAGTTGGTTAATGTAAAGGAAAAATGTTTAACAGATAGTATTATTCCTTATGTGAAGTACCATCTGTGTATTGACTTCTGAATGTTCCTGCTTTGGAAAAGAGAAAATGTTATGGAATTTCACGTTTGCCTCCTTTGCTGTCTTTATCTTGGGTAGAGGACGACAAACAATCACATTTATCTCCTGGAGCATAGAAGAGTTTTAATCACCCTATTAACCAGGATGACATTTTTTCACAGACTTAGAAAGGTATAGAACAGATATTATCTCCCCATAAGCAATCCATTTCATGGAGGCTGAGCACAAGAAATGTTTTAAAGGCTGGGATAGCACAAGCCATTCCCATCTCATGCCTAAGCCAACATTAAGGAGGCTTTCACTAGGATGTTGCTTACACTGCTTGAGCGTTAAGCTCTGCATTTTGGCTCTCACCGCCCAGAAGAGCTATTAGGGGAAGCAGTGTCAAGAAAACGCAGCGAGCAGAGTGGGGAGGCTACCAGGGCCTAAGGTTCCATTCCAGAAAAAAGGTTATTTTGGTGCGTTATTGCTGCCCAGTAAACATGTATCCGTGGGTTGCTGTTCATTTCAGAGTAAGGAAAACACGGCTTCTGAACACCCTGGGAAAGAAAAATAGGGCGTGGGAACGGCCTCCCGTGGGACCGGCAGCCTCTCACTGGATGAAGCAGGTTATCATGAAGGAGGGAATGGCTGCTGAGGCCCCACAGAGACATGTCTGTGGGCGTCCCGTGCGTGGACGCGGGCTGACGTCCAGCCCCAACCTTCTCTCGCTGCTGGGTCGGGAGGGACACCGGGTCACCTCACCGGTCATACTCATGTCTGGTTTCATGGGCAGTGCGGGAGAAAACTTGGAAATTAATCATTGCAACCTAAGGGGCAAATACAAGAAATGGGGGGGGGACAACCATGGGGACAAAAGTCATTAAAGGCCATTGAATTTAGTTATTTCACTTGGGGCAAAATGCTATGTTTGGCTTATGGAGAATGTTGTGTTTTTCATCTCATTTTCATATCTTCTTTAAAGAGTAAACCAAATAGTCAAGTACAAATGAAAATCAGCCAGGTAAAATATAGTAGTATTTTTTTCAAATAGTTGAAAGTTTCCCATGAAAGTTAGTAAAATATGCATTTTGGTAGCATTTTGTCCTGTTCAAGCGAGAGGCTTTTCCTCTCTGCCCAAAGAGCCCTTGAGTGGTGGAGCCAGGGCTGGGGACGCCACACTGGTGTCACCGGGTTAATTACCTGTACCTGCACCAAGAACCCACTGTCTTAAAGGAGCAGGTTGACAGAACTGATTTCACAAAAGAAGGTTTGGAGTTGGTAGTCCTCAAAGGTGTTGTGCCAGCTCTGCAGTTTGCCCCTTTGCCAAGCTGGGTGATGGGAATATGTTTATTTTTATTGCCACTGATCCACGTCCGAGCCTGCCCCGTCAGTCCAGTTGGCGTGCGCTGGTGGTGAGCTACAGCCTGCCTCTGAAGGACATGGTTGGGTAGAAACGGTGAGAGCCTCAGTGTGTTGAGCCATCACTGCCTTCTCCTACTGCCCTGTCATCTCTCAGAAGCCCCTAAACTGTCTGCTCCAACTTCTTCCTGTTGTGGACGTTGAACCCCTCTGTTTCCTAATCCGAGCAAAGCCCAAACACTGAAAAACCAGTTGCCCCTCGAGTTCACTCTAATTCATGGCAACCTCGTGTGTATCAGAGCAGAACTGTGCTCTGCAGGGCTTTCTAGGACTGATCATTTGGAAGTAGATCACCAGGCCTTTCTTCTGAGGCACCTCTGGTGGACTCAAACCTCCAAACTTTCCACCAGCAACCGAGCGCATTAATTGTTTGCGCCACCCAGGGATTCTGCCTGAACAGTAGTGTCACCATGTCAAAATCTCGTGGGCTTCATCATTGCGCCGGCCACCTTTGCCTGGATCCTTCCATCTCCCTTCAATTCCATGGTGGCTGCAGCTACTTACAGATCCTTCTGTGGGAATAGAGGTTGCAAAGTTAAAAAAAATTCTATTGCAGCAAGTCTCATGCAAGGCTGAAATAAGACCTCTTGTCAACAGATCAGAATGACCAAGGAAACCCTTTGCTCCCAGTTTGCTCATGGGCTGGCTCTGATTGTCTTTTCTTGGATACTTTATTATGAATGAGTGTAATAAAGTAGCTGTGGCAGCAGCACATTAGCAAGTCTACCCACTCCCTGTTCAAGTGGAAGGCTGCGCTTTTCTATGCAACATACTACATGATCAGGGAGGCTCATCTATGGCTTCTAGGTGGAGTCACACTGCACCTTATTTGGGTTTATCCAGAGCCGGAGGTAAAATATAGCACTTGAGCCTGCCAAGATGTTGCTCTGTTCAACAAATGAACTAGCATCGCAATTTTCCCTGCATCTTTCCAAACATTTCTCACCTGCAGTAATGTTCCCATGGGGATTGTCCCCACTGAACATCTCTGATATGGCCACTAACCAGTGAGCTGGGGATGGAATCCATATTCTTCACAGGGGCACATTAGCTTTAAGCTCTTAATATTGCAAATATTATTGAAAGAGCTGAAGTGAAGGGCTGGGCTAAGAAACAAAGAATCAGGTGAGACCTTAGAGAAACCCCTATGAGCCTCTGACAGAAAAGCAGGCATTCATCCTCGCAGAGTTTCTTTAGGTTCAGGACTAGACCTGTAAGGAGCACTTAGTAAATATGCAACATGAGGCAGTGGTGGTTCAGTGGTAGAATTCTCGCCTTCCATTCAGGAGACCCAGGTTCAATTCCCGGCCAATGCACCTCATGCACAGCCACCACCCGTTTCTCGTTGGAGGCTTGTGTGTTGCTATGATGTTGAACAGGTTTCAGCAGAGCTTCCAGATTAAGACAAACTAGGAAGAAAGGACTCATGGGTGATGTTGTTTCCGAAAATCAGCCCATGAAAACCCCATGGAGCACGACAGTCCGATCTGCAACCCATCAGGCAATCTTTCACTTTGTAGTACATGAAGTCGCCATGAGTTGGGGAGGGAGCAAGAAAAGAAAGGGATGGTTTTGAGACTATACATTTGGCTCCCTTGAGTATTCCTCATGGGAAGACCACCAGCCAGCTCCT